CTGTCCATCTTCTCGCAACTGTTCACGAATCTAAACTCCGAGCTAACGACTCAGAAAACACACTGAAGTTACGCTCCGAGCTAACGATTCCGCAAACACACTGAAGTTAAGCTCCGAGCTAACGACTCAGCACATATACTGAAGCTAAACTCCGAGCTACCAACCAAGCTCATGCACCCGAGCTAACGACCAAGCTCCGAGCTAACGAACGTGACGAACTACCGCCCGCGGAAGTATCGAAGCTCATTGACCGAACCCATTATTCAAATGGAGCAGATAGACAAGACCCGTTCCGACTCAGATCATAACTCGGGAACGAGTCTGGGGGGGGGGGGCTTACTGTTGGTGGTGGAATACTCCCCTTTACAAGGCCCACTAAATAATGGGCCCGGCGCATACGAGCTCCGGCCCAGCGAGGTAGTGTATCGCTGGTTAACGACTAATCAGATTTAACTCGGATAACCCCCGTGGTTATCCGGGTTAACGACGCTTAGAAGGGACACTTACCTTGACGGGCCGGCTAGGGCCCATCTGGTGAAAGCCCTCCACGCAAGTGACCAGCTCGTTAGGTCAAGACGAAGAGCACTATAAAAGGAGGAGAAAGGGCACCAAGGAGGGGATCCGAAATCACTTTCACTCACAAGGCGGCTAGGATTAGCGTTTTCAATCTTGTACTTTCTTTCCGACTTGTACGGCACGGCTGAGCTCCCCGCGAGACTCCGCCTCGCCTCACCTTTCCTCATTTGTAACCAAACTCTCTCATTAATAAAACCATTCTTTGACTCTAGATAGTAAATAACGCCTTTGAAATAACCCCCATACGAGTCCAGTCACTCATTCACTGAAAAGACCGAACTCGGTTCAAACACTGACTTGTACTTCACCTATAAAGGGATCAAGATTATGGCCGCAATAAAACCATTCAATAATCAATAAAGTATTAAAATTTTATATTACCCAACTATACCTCTATACCAACCAATCTTCGCAAACCGTATCAAGCAAATAACCATTTCGTTGTTTGAATCTGGGAAATGCGTTTCAACTTGCTCTGCATAATTGCCCCACAAGCAACACACAACTTCATCACCACTGTATTTTGCCAATTTCAAATGCAGATAAAGATACTGTTTGTTAATAACTATATATATATACATATCAATAAATCCATAAGAAGAACGGTTACTTTAAGAAAATTATATAATTTACCTAAAGTAAGGTAAACGAAATTGAGCTTTATCGTGTCTTTCCCCATAACTTGAACAGTTTGAATTCCAGCTAGATCTACAACTTTTCCAATAACATATGTATGTTAAAACAATAAATAATTAATTATGACAAAAGAACAGAGAATTTTTTCAGAGTATTCATCATTTCTATTGTAAATAAAATATATTATTATGGCTGTGTACCTTTATGCCAAAAAAATTTCTGTTTATCGATACTCCTTAAATCATCGTAACTTGAAAGCGAAAAGAAATGCTTATCAGAACGATTATCACAATCGTATACCACTGTTTCACCAGTGAAAGTCAACTTGTATTGATGAATTGTTGTGCAATAATGTCCTTTTGCTTCTGAAACATAAAAAGTGTCGATAGTTTTTCACTCCCCAATTGGTAAATCTCGCTTCAATCGATAGATTTGATTCTTTTTACAAAATGCTGTAACTTTACAGCTTACAAAACAAAGTAAAGTTGAATAAGATATTGACTACAAATGATTTTTTTTTTTTAAATAAAACTTCTGTAACTTACATTTTCGTTAGCGAGGACCAACTCTAATGTGTCGCCTCCATAACTGGTGCTTTGTTTCCAACAATGAAGAACCTTTACGCGAATTTGCCAATTCCCTCTGTAAGATTTAATGATGAATATGAGAAAAACTATATACAGTAGAACATCTATAAATTAATACTCGATAAATTAATAATTTCTATAAATTAATAAATTTCAGAATTCTAAAATTTAAATAATGTACATATACTAAAATTCAATATTTTTTTATTTTAAAATAAACACTGAAAAAATAGAAAAAAAAACTAAATAATGAAACTTTTCTAAACTAATATCTCTATAAATTAATAAAATTTTCAAAGTCCCAACATTATTAATTTATAGAGGTTTTATTGTATACTCCTCACAGTTTAGGTCTCGGGTGAAAATAAATATACTCTCCAACAATTCATGAAACTAATTAATAGGCTATAATTAATATCAAATCAAGAGATTTAGTATCTAATTCTAATTTTAGGCAAAGTAGGTTGACTTAGAGAAGGGATAATTCCATAAAGAATTGTATATATCTATCGATATTTTGCTTTATAATTAATACCAAATCAAGTGCTTTAACTGTAACCGAAATTTTCTGTTTAAAAAGAATAAGATTATACTGAGGATTTTCGTATCAAATAAGAAAGTGAATTAAATTATGTTCCAAATAATTATAAGATACCGAATCAGCACTAACTTCCTAAACAATAGATAGTTAACGAAAATCATACCGAAATATAATTAACTGCGTAAAGATTAGATACCCTACTAACAATAATATCATTTCGATCAAACTATAGATTAATAAAATGAGGTCCAACTTAAAATCCACCTAAAAGAAGTTGTGATGTTTAAGCTTTAATAAGATATATAACACAAAGACCCCAAAACAACCAGCATACATAATAAAACAAACTAATCAAATTCAACTAATTAATGCAAAAATTGATAAATATGAGAGACATCAATTACGCATATTACGATGGATTTATTAGAATATATATTATATTTATTGTGATATTATGCTGAAACCAAGAAAAAATATATTTTTATGTAGGGTAAATACGATTTTTAAATTTTATTAAAAATATTGAAAATCGACAACCAATCAAATTATAACAAGTTTCTTAAATTATACTTTTGATTAACACCTAAACAAAAAAAATTAGTGTTATTGGAACATGAATTTTTGTGTAAATTTAATGATTCTAATAGTTGAGATTTAACAATTCAAATAGTTGAGACGATTTTACAAGTTAACTAGATTTAACAAATTTAATCAAATATTTTTACATAGAATCTCATTGTTTGTTATTAACTTTTAAAGTAAAAAGTTAATGGTGGAGGAATATGGGAAAGAGAATAATTTCTTCTCATTTAATATTGTGAAATTGGATCCTATACACACTACTTTCTCTCTAATTAAGTTAACTAGGTGATTTTCCCGTGCTCATGCACGGGTACGAATATTCATAAAAGTAAAATTTTATAATAATTGATTGACATTTAGTTTTAGTTTTGAATAAACATATGCATAAATTATATTAATAAATATTATATTATTTTAATTATACATATGATTTTGGATATATTATTGTAGATTTAATTATTTTTGGATCAATAGTCGGTTTGGTTATCAATTTGATATATTGGATAATATCTATTTTTCGAATTCAGCTATAATAAAGCTTTGGTTATTGTCTTAGATATGTATTTATTTTTAGATATGTAAATATATTATAATTAAATTATGTATAACTTAATATATATTATGCTTAAAATGAAATAAATAATAATCTGAAGTGTTTNTTTTTGGATCAATAGTCGGTTTGGTTATCAATTTGATATATTGGATAATATCTATTTTTCGAATTCAGCTATAATAAAGCTTTGGTTATTGTCTTAGATATGTATTTATTTTTAGATATGTAAATATATTATAATTAAATTATGTATAACTTAATATATATTATGCTTAAAATGAAATAAATAATAATCTGAAGTGTTTGATTCCAAATTAAATAAATGAATATAATGATAATATTTTGAAGTCTCATGCACATATATAAATTCTATAAAATAATTAAATTGTAATTGGTTAATATTTGGTTTCAATATGCTTTGACTCAACCTCTAATTTATATGTATAAAATTAAATAGATTATTATTATTATTTTTTTATTCTTATTTTTATTATAAAATTATATGTTCTTATTTTAGTTAGATGTTTAATTTTAGATATAAATTAGATTAGTCGAGTCATTCATTTTGTGAATATATTGAGTTAAATATATTTGTAAATTAAAATTGAAGTATAATTACTTTTAATTTTATTTAAGTCAAATCAAATTAGTTTTATACTTTCATTTATCGATTAAATATACATATATTTTTATAATATTTATTTACTCTTTATTTTAGTTAAGTCAAATTAAATTAATTTTATTTATCGCTTAAATATACATGTATTTTCATAATATTTATCAAATTATGTGTTGACTTCTAAATAATATTATAAAATAAAGTATAACTGATAAATTTTGGAATATTCATGAACATATATAATTTTATTATTTTGAAAATATATTTTATGTTATTTAAAAATATATATTAATGGAGATATTACTATTTTGTGAATATTCCTTTTTAATAAAGTCATATTATATACATATTTTTTCATTTTAAAATTTGTTTTAAAATTTTAGAAATATTTCATTTTTATTATATATGTTATTTGGAAAAAGTTAAAAAGAAAAATAAATAAAAAATAATAATCTTAAAATCTAACAATTCAATAAGGCTATCTATGTAATCAACNGATATTACTATTTTGTGAATATTCCTTTTTAATAAAGTCATATTATATACATATTTTTTCATTTTAAAATTTGTTTTAAAATTTTAGAAATATTTCATTTTTATTATATATGTTATTTGGAAAAAGTTAAAAAGAAAAATAAATAAAAAATAATAATCTTAAAATCTAACAATTCAATAAGGCTATCTATGTAATCAACTATCGTGAGAATTAACGTGAGCGTGACACGTAGGAAACTGACTTCTCAAATAATATTATAGAGATACCCTAAACCCGCACACCATATCCCTTTGTTGCTAAAGAGTAATTTGTCCCATCATAGGTAATTTGTTAATTTTCTCATTCTTTTTTGATATTTAACCAATTAACTCTTTAATATTATAGGATCCAATTAGTTCATATTCTTATCTGAAGACACCCCAATTTGTGTCACTTATTTGGCGAAGCGAGACTCAAGCCGCTCTAACATTCACATTTCATGGCTTCTTCTCTCTTTGCGTTTCTTTCTTGGAATTCTTCGCCTCTCACTCCAAGATTCTTACAAACCCTAAATTCTCCGTTCAACTCCCCTTGTTTTGTTTTGAAGCTAAATCACACATCTTCACTTAAATCGAGTACTCATATCTCCCCTCTTCAATCTCGACGTGTACGAAATAAAACGCTCGTTTTTTCTGCCCAGACTAGTCTCCTGAAAGGTTTATCCTTTGTCTTTGATTGCTAAGTTTATCTCGAAAGAGAACAGTTTATCTTTGTATGGTTGGTGAAATTTGGATTGGACAATGGGTTTATTGATTAACGAGTCATTATGAGGTGATACCCTCTTAGTTACACAATTTCAAGATGAAAGGGGTGTGTTCTTTGTTTTGTGGAACGAGCTTACCCTCTCATTGGTCGATTTCTTGATGGACAAATGATGGGAACAAAGTTGATTATTTCTCTTTGAAATACTTGAATAAGAGTGTCTGCTAATCTGTCGGACTCTTGTATCATTTTCTTGAATAGTTCTTAAAACCGCGTGGAATATTGGGAAAGATGGAATTGATGCAGGAACCAACCTAGTACCTGTGAGCTCTCTTTATCTTGTCTTTTACCGTTGCTCTAAAATATGAGTTGAGTATAGATGGGTTTATTCACACTTACTGTTCCTTTTGCTTAAAGGTTTCTGTGCCTAGACCTGTTGCTAGGATCTCAGTGACAATTGCAGTATTGGCGGTTTCGTTGTTTGTTCTCAAGTCGTTTCTCTCTACGGCTTTCTTTGTATTGGTATGTAACCCCTCTCCATTTTCCTGCATTTTAAAGCTGAATTTGGGTGTCTGAAAAGTCCGTAATGATGTTGTCCATGTGTGTGCTTCAGGGTACAATGGGATTTGCATATTTCTTATTCATAGCCTTGAACAAAGATGAAGCTCCTAAACAGGGAAGAGAAGATAATATTTCTAGTTCCAAACCCATTGATGATCCACTTGAAGAAGCAAAGAATATTATGGACAAGTACAAGTAAGCTTAAGAGTTTGTCTCCTATGACAGAGATCTCAAATGTATTACCGATAGAACACTTAGGCAATACTGTATGTTTTGTTTGATTTTAATATCAACTCGCAAAGGTGTTAGCAGGGGATTTGTAAAGGTCCGATTCATGAACTGTTACCTGCTCAATCAAAAACATATCACGTCTCTGTTCCGGTTTGAAAGAACCGGGTTATGTTGTGAGGAAAATGTTGTCGAATTAGCAATCATTGAAAATTTGCTGCCACCTCTTGCATTTTAATTTACCATGAGTTATTGGTCCGATTGTTAGGACTGTTGAGACCTTAGAAGATTTAACAGCCCTTCAAATTAATTTTTTTCCATTTAGACTTTTCCTAAAAGTTTGTGACTTAAGGTCTTCACAGCCCATAACTGTTTTTATTTAGGAAAGTTAATTCAAAGAGTATGAATTTTATTACTTATTATTACAATCATAGAAAACTTTTTTTATTATTATTTTTTTTTAATACCCATCGTGCCTTTTTTTTACGTTGTGAGAAAAAAACGTATTTACAAGAATGCCATTATTTTTTTGTGCCACGTAGGCAAAAAATCGGCTCCACGTAAGAATGCGGCATAAAACTCAGCCATAATACGATATGAACTTCGTTACGGCCGAGATATAGGTGCGTTGCGGCTACTTAAATAATCTAGCTGGCTTATGAGAAATAAGCTGAGTTATGAACATAACTCAACCAATCGTTACGGCTGACTTAAAAAAATATGGCTGGTTTGTGTGATAACGGCTGAGTTACGGTCACATATTACGACTGGCTTATACATCAGCGGGCTGATTTCTGGAAAATCCGGCTGAGTTCTAGTTACCATACGGCTGAGTTAACTATCGCGGCTGGTTAATTGATCGTCGATAGGCCGAGTTATGAGATGTTTTTAGAGCTGAGTTATATTTAATCAGCCGTAATAAAATGGAGTAACAGTAAACTCAGCTGATATACGGCTGACTTATTAGTGAAAGATTAATTACTAGAATAGTATTCATTTGCCGGCTGGTTTATTTGACGATACAACTGACTTATTGCGTTTCATCTTTGTTATGGCTGATTATTAACAAAAAAGTTAATTACTAAAATAGTATTCACGTTTTGACTGACTTACGGTGTACTTGGTGACTGACGTATTGTGGCTGACTTAAATGTTCGTTTGGTGGCTGAATAACCGATTTTCCATGTCATCATCCATGTCAGCTTTTATTTTCCATGTCATTACTAACTACAACAACGAAATTAGGGTTTATGTTACAGACGCCGCTCTCTGTTCTTCCCCTTCTTCTCTTTCTCTAAAATCTTATGGATCGAGTAATTATAGTTTCAGGTAACTGGATTAAGAAAAACAGATATGTATTCACACCCGACAGTAGAGGATGTATTGTTCTGCATGTAGATGAGAAAACAACACACGACGAACTCGCAAAGTCAGTACTTGATGATTATGGATTGAATGAGTCGAGTCATCAGATTCAGCTAAGCTACCAGTTCTCGAATAAAGTTTTGAAAACAATGCCTCACGACACGCCACCAGTTTACGTCTCCAATACTCGTCAATTGCAAATATTTTTAAGCCTAAGGAAAACCGAAAGATTACGCCTCTGTGTAGAGATTACAAAGAACGAGGATGATGAGATCAGAAGGAAAGACGGAGCGGGAGAGAAGAGTAATATATTATATAGTTTCAGCTTAGAAGCAGAAGTCTCAGAAGTTGAATCTAGATATGATTGTTTTAGTTTGGAGGAGGAACATAACGACAATGAGAATAACTTCTATAATATCTTGGACGGAGAAAAACAGAAAGATGTTGGAGAAGATGAAGAAGGCGAAGAAGACGGTGAATTTGATAGCCGATTTGATATGTTCGACGACTCAGATGGTGCGTCTCCGAAGATGATACCTTTAGCTCTTATGGTGAGTCTCCAGCACAAAGACGAAGATTCACCGACACTACCGCCTAAAAAGAGATCTCAGACAACTGAAACTTCTTACAATTGGACCGGATCTAAAGGGGATTCAGAGGTTCTAAGGTTGGAGATGTCTTCGCTAAACCTTGCTGTTGGTCAACGATACCAGAGTAAAGCTGAGTTGGAAAGATGACTGAAACTTCTTACAGTGAGAGATCAGTTTGATTTTGATGTGTAAGTATCCAATCCAGATTTACTCATTGTTAAATGTTGGGTTGGTGGATGTCTCTGGAGAGTTAATGCTTCAACACAAGGGGATTCGCTGACATTCTATGTTCATATTTACGATTCGGAACATACATGTTTTGTAACTGAGCGTTCTAATCGATCTCGACAAGCAACACCAGATATTTTAGGAGAATTGTACATAAACTTTCTCTGCGACGTTGGTCCGGCCGTTCGACCTACGAGTGTGGGAATAGCTCTCAATAAACAGTTTGGTCTCAAGGTAATTGTTGTAGTAAGGCTGAATTATATCAACGTTATAGCTGAGTTATATCTACACTTTGTGGCTGACTTATATTAACGTCCGGCTGTTCTAGTTAAGTGATAGGCTGAGTTATATAAACTCCGAACGATGCGGCCGAGTTTGTTGAATTATCTGGCTGATTTATTTAAACTTCAACGTTTCGGCTGAGTTAGTTAAGTATATGGGCTTGGTTATTTATACGTTACGGCTGTGTTATTTAAGTTATCCGACTGAGTTATTTATACGTTACGGCTGTGTTATTTAAGTTATCCGACTGAGTTATTTCTACGTTCAAGCTGAGTTACTTAAGTGATTGGAGTTATTATTTGTATTCATTTGGGCAGATGGATTATTGGAAATCATATAAGACTCTGAAATTTGCAAGGGAAATCGATATGGGAACACCTGAGAGTGGTTTTGAAAACTTGCCTTCTTACTTATTCATGATAAAAAGGGCAAATCCTGATACAATAACTCGTCTTCAAATCGATGAGTTTGGAATATTCTTGTATGTGTTCCTTGCGTTTGGCGCGAGCATAAATGGGTTTCCTTTCACGCGCAAAGTTTTGGTTGTCGATGGTACGTTTCTTAATGGCAAATACAAAGGGACGCTTCAAACAGCACTAGCTCAGTATGGTAATTTTCAGATTTTTCCAATCGCCTTTGGTGCAGTTGATACAGAAAATGACGATTCGTGGAACTGGTTTTTTACGCAACTAAAAGTTTTGATTCCTGACGACAAGGGTCTTGCGATAATCTCAGATAGGCATAACTCGATTGGGAAGGCTATTCGAAATGTTTATCCGTTGGCTTCTCGAGGAATTTGCACGTACCATTTATATAAGAACATTTTGGGACGGTACAAAGGGAAAGATGTATTTCGTCTGGTGAAGAAAGTGGCAAGATGTTTCAGGATGCCTGACTTTAATACAATGTTCGAGGAGATTGAAGCTATTAATCCTGACCTTCATGGGTACCTCCAATGAGCCGATGTCAAACTGTGGCGCGTGTTCATTTCCCAGGCGAAAGGTACAATTTGATGACTACGAACATAGCGGAATCAATAATAGAGCATTATCAAATGCTAGAGGTCTTAACATTGTTTGACTACTAGAATTGATACGGGTTATGATGACCAGGTGGTTTGCTGAACGGAGAGAGGATGCTGAATCGCAGCGAACCATGCTTGCACGTGCTATAGAGAAACTACTACTTGTAAGTCAGCCGTACTTATTAAATAAGTCAGCCGTATAATTTAATAAGTTAGCCTAAGTAGATATCATAACTCAACCGTATTAATGATAAGTCAGCCTAAACACATTTCATAAGTAAGCCGTATCAATGATAAGTCAGCCTAAATAGATGTCATAAGTCAGCCTTATATTTTAATAAGTCAGTCTAAGTAGATTTCATAACTCAGTCTCTAATGTTTTTCATTGTTCATTTTTATTTATAATATGGCCGTGTTACTACCGTGAGACTGTTGACTATACAAAGGATCGATACTCATCACACTGAAGTTACATATGGTGAGTCTTTGCATGTTGTTAACTTGGAAAGGAGAAGGTGCACATGCCGGCGTTTGCAGCTGGAGAGATTACCATGTTCGCATGCAATTGCAGCTGCGGAGTCCAGGAATGTTTGTCGTTTATCCCTGTGCAGTCCTTACTATACTAGCGCTTATTTGGTGAGCGCATACGCCAATTCAGTCATGTCGGTTGATTCAGCGCTACCAGTTCCAGATAACTTGGTTAACCTAGCATGCTTTCCCCCGTCTATTCGTCTTCAGCCAGGAAGGCCTAAGAAAAATAGGATGAAATCTGCTTTAGAGGTTGCATTTGAAAACAAACGTCCTAGGAAAGAACACACATGTTCTCGTTGTAGACAGAGTGGACATAATGTGAAAACTTGTCCGATTTAAAAGTGTTGTATTGATATGTAGACTAGGTTGTACTATAGCTGAGTTATTTAATGTTTCTAATTATGGCTGAGTTATTGACATGCTAGGATTGAGTTATAGTTCTACTACGGTTGAGTTATAGTATTCTACGGCTGAGTTAAATAAAAGTGTAAGTTTAATAAAAGGCTGAGTTAGAGTATACCGTGGCCCAGTTAAATAAAAGGCTGAGTTAAGTAATATACTGTGGCTGAATTAATTAAAATGCTAAGTTAAGTAAAAGGCTGAATTAAATAAAAGGCTTAGTTAATAATTTATTGCGGCTGAGTTAATAATATTACAGCGGCTGAGTTACATAAACGCTACGGCTGACTTTCAAAATAACATAACTAAATACCAAACACAACCTTTCTAATTAGATTTGAAAACCAAAGTTATCAGGTCCAAATTCTTCAGACATATCCACAAGAGCAAGCCAAACTCTGGTTAGCATCCAATCAGGCTTCTGCCCACCAAGCGCCCAATTCCTCTTCAACACCCGCATTTGATGACAAAATATCGTTTTGGCTACGCGATTAAAATTTTCCCAAACTTCGTAATTATGCTTCGGATCCTAAGTGTTATTTCGCTAAAAATAAATAAAATATATAACGAATATTAGAAACATAACAACTGTTAAATTTAATAGGGATACATAATGGATGCTTACAGCGAGTTCAAGAAACCAGCGTTTCTTAAAATGAGCGGGAATGACACGGTAAGTCGGCCACTCATGAACCCACCCTTCTCGAATAATGGGCGGGATCGCAACCGATAAATCATGCAAGAATGTAAACCACTCTACGGTGGTTTTGGAAACATATACACCAAAACCAGGGTTCAGAAAGGGTAGGTTATCCCGA